TAAGAATATTCATCTCGTGAGTGTTGTAAGAGGTGACAGAAGGAAACAAGAGAGAGAGAGAGAGAGAGAGAGAGAGAGAGAGAGATGAGCAACATCTCCCTAATACCCTTTAAGGAAATCTTATATACTTTTACCGATTTTTACCATTAAATGGCATGACGGCTCCATGGTGCAGTGGCTTAGCATTGAATTCCGGTGCTGAGGGCCGCAATTTAATATACTTACTATATATGGGAACAAATATTTATATGGCATACAAGTAATTATTCCGATGTTTGTCCTTGTGCAATTTATGTTTGTTAACTGCCTCCACTACTGGAGACGTTCTCTAGATACACAGATTAATCTATGTCTAGACATTAGCTCACGTCATAAAACAAAACTGGCATTAATTTAATTTTAAAATAGCCAATCTAACTGCTTTCATGCTGGAGTATTCTTGTTTGCCTCCCTATTATCGAAGAGAGGGCTTCTTAAGTCCCTTATTGAGGAGCTATAAATTTTTAGGTTTTTCTTTTTAACAAATTTTGAATCAGTCCCAATATGGTTAGAACAAAATACATATGCGTCATCACCCCTGAGGACTTAGATTATAATTTCACACTAGTATTGTGAGATCATGGTCCGCGGTCGAGCCAACCCATTTGTGCTAAAGCTATGTATAGGTACAATTCCGTAGCCGACTGCAGGCAGCAGCAGCAGGCGACGTGTCGCCGAGACATGTCGCTGTTGCAGTCATGATTGCGAACCCGACTGCAGGTGGCAGCAGCCCATGTTTAAGTCTGTTCCGAGTATAATATTTCCACGATACAGGAGAAAATCCTAGTGTAGGGGTAACGTTTTTTAAAAGGAAGCAAAAAAAAAACTATATGATAGTGTAAAAACTATATGATAGTGTAAATAATGTGGGTTCTCTGTTAATGTTAACAAAATAGGTACTTATCGGTTTTATTTAACTCCTTCCCTATATTTTTCCATATATTACCTTTTATCACACTGTTTAAATAATTATTGTGAGATGCATCGTACGGTGCGGGATATTGAGCTACCTAGTTTATCATTTTCTCTTCCTCGGAATCGGTGAAACTCATATTTTGAGAAAAATTCAACGTGTTGTCGCTCGAACGTTGGCGTTACTACTGAAATTGAGAGTTACCGTAAAGTTAGGGTAAACCCTTGCAACACGGTACGGTACGGTACGGAGTACGGTGTTTCTAAATAAAATTACAGTAGATTAACTATAAGTGTACCGTGTAAATTACCGTGTAACTTTTCGCTGAAAAATACAACATTATAAACAAAATCAAGTTCAAATATATTTGCTTTTAATTAATTACTAAGAATTTTTTTTAAAAAATGGTAAATAAAACAATATTATACTGAATCTGATTTTCCTAGCATGGCAATATTTTTTTCGTAAATGGATTTATTTATTTTTGTTAACATATCGTTAATAGGCCTGAAATCAACACAGTTTTCGCTATTTCTTTTAATTGATTGCTGGGTGAAAAATATTTCCTTTTAGTGTTTTGGTTAAAAGTTTATTTCTTTTTCGTTTTTATATCATTGACTTGGCTGAAAATGCGCTGGCACTCGGCATTTGAGCACATTACGGTATGCAATGGTATTACGGTGACATATGACACGGTAATGCCATATTACCTTGACGGTAGGTTAAGACCAAATTACGGTGCATCTACGGTAATTACCGTGTACATGGAGACACTGGGTCAGGCTATAGTGTCGTCTGCCGCTCGGCCCTTAGCGGCAAACGTCGTGTCGCTAGCTAGAGCTTTCATAGAAATACATAGAAACCGGCAGCGTCACGAATTTTCGACACATTCGTGCTACAACTATTCAAACGAGGAAGGACTACGCTAAAATACCAGCGTGAAGTAGCAGTTTAATGCTAGTTAGTATTAAACTGCTACTCGTATCTATACAAATAAATAAAATTGAAGTGTCTGTTTGTAATGTCAAAATTACAGCTCTTTACTAATTGCATATGAAAGTATATACGGTACTTATAACTAAAATACAGTCTGTCTGTTTGTTCCGATTAATCTCCGAAACGGCTGGACCGATTTTGACAAGACTTTCACTGGCAGGTAGCTAATTTCATAAGGAGTAACTCAGGCTACTTTTATTTTAGAAAAATAATTATTGTTCCGAGCAAAAACATAAAAACACTAACACGCGAGCGAAGTCTCGGGGAACAGCTAGTTAATAATATGGTAAGTGTAAAGAACCAGAGACCCTTTTTACTGATAACGAGGCATTCCATCTTAGGGGGGGTCCCAGTATCCGAGTACCCATAGTCACCCTTATTCTGTAAAAAAAATTAGAATTATAAAGGACTGTAATAATGATGACCATGACGTTATTTATATTTTACATTTTATTATTTTAATTCACAATTGAGGATTTAATCGCTCACTGTAAATTTTATAGTACGCGTGTAACTCGATTTCGATCCCGCTGGTACCACTGAGATAGCGATACATAGCGATAAAGAAAAATATCGTTAGGAAAACTGCATGTCTGAGAAATAAGAAAAAATCATTCAAAGGCATGTGAAGCTCGCTAACACGCATTGGGGCAGCGCGGCGGACATTTGCTTGCCCTAAAACCCTCTGAGAAATGAGAAGAGGCCTGTGCCCAGCAGTGGGACGTATATAAGTTGTAACTTTAACTTTTATTTATGTTGCCAGGACTGTCACCTCTTTGAAAAATATCGTATGGTATTCTGTTACGATCCATGTTTTAATTCTCCACTGGATGCTTTCTGCAAAATATCAGTAGGCCAGCCTTTTCGTACACATATGCCCTATAGAACTAAGGATTGCCATTAGAGGCGATTTACTACCTGCCTCTGTCTCCCATAGTAGAGCAGAACTCTGTGATACAATAGCTCATCGGAGAACTAGGTGCTTAAAGAGATATTTGAAGCCTTAATTTAGTTTTAACTATAATTTTTGATTCATAAATAAGACATCTCGTATTTAAATCTGATGAACTTTAGCTTTTCACAATGCGACAACTGGTATTACATGAAAGCTTTGTTCATCAGCACTACATAGCACTGGAAATGCTGCATCACTACACTTGTCTATTACACTTGTATTTAACTTTTTTGCTTTGATTTTCTGTCATCAGTCGATCGCTAGAGTACCGTCCAGCTCTGTGCTGGCGGGGTGTAAAGCAAATAGATGAGGTGTAATTTAATTAATTAATTTAATTTTATATGCTCTTCGATTATCTTACACCTAAATTCCGCCTTAATAACAGATCACATTCCGCATTCGTTCGGCAGTGTCGGTCATTATTTAATATTCAGGTACATAACGAGTTTATAACTCGATGATTATGGATAGTAAAAACTAAAGATTATTTAATCACAGGTTATTATTTCTCTCATTTAATATTTTAGAACAATTAATTGATAGAAAAAGACGAGTAACGATCCTCAAGCTTTGGCTCGATTTTAGAAAAGTTTAGAGCAAGAAGAAAAATCAAAAAAATAACGCATAACATAATTTGTTGTGTAATTTTTTTAAGGTAATGTTTTTAAATTTTGATTTATTATATACAAGGTTTTTATAAACACTTAATTTAAGTTTTATTCTTATTTAAGCAGCTGTTAATTTTTAATACTAATAACTAACTTTTTTAATTTTTTTATTTTAATACTCAAGTCTTACATTTCTTCCAAATACACGTCATTTGCTTTTAGTGACTGCCAGGATGAAGAACTTTAGATATGGTAATGTAGTTAATAGTTCTCGCCTATATAAAATTTCATATTTTGTAGACAGATGACTTAAATTCTGTTTAATGATTATTATATTTTCATTGGCAACTTTAATGCGCCACATCTCACATATTATATTCTTCGTTCTGGTCCATGACGTAGAGACGGTTTGCGTTACAATTATTTATTCAAATTATTTCAAATTACAATACGAGCCGAGCACACAGCTAATTCTATGAAGGAAAGGTCGTCAGAGATCCTGCTACGTGTTAAGTGACTCAGGTAACTATTGCTTTGCTAATTGCTTGCTATATTCATAAATATAATAAAAAGTTATTTTTAATGTAAAAAAAAACCAAAACTTTTGATTTAAATTTGATCGGATGTTTTTTTTTTTCTGTTATCCTCCGACATGTTGATCAGAGACCTTGTGTAGCTGATTGCTGTTTTATATATAAGTTTATTTTAATTTCACATTATTTTTATATAGTTTTTACTTTATTTCCTTTTTTTTCTTTTTTTCCTCTTTATTTTGTATATTCTATGAACTAAGCTTTTTTCTTTTTTTTTGATTAAGTACATTTTATTTTATTCTCACTTTTCCTTTTTCCAAATGTGGTTAATTCTTATTATATTAGTTCTTTTTTTCAGTATTCTACACTATTTCTAATTAAATTCTCTTCTTTTTTTTCTGTGGCTATATGTCTATTTATATAGTTTTCTTACTCTCTTGTTTTTTTATATCCCTGTTTTACCAAGTGTTTTATTGTGCTTTTTGTTTGAAATATCTTATTCTATATTCTAAATTAATTTTATCTTGTTCTTGTTTAGGCACTTTTATTAGTTTTTATAATTTTATTTGCTATGGTTATACAATATTTTGTGAAAATGTTTCTACAGCGTTTGTCTTCCATTATGTTGTGTATACTTTCTTTTGTCAATTTTAATTATATCTGCAGTTCCACGTCTGCTCTATTTTTGTAAAAATTGAGGGCAGTCTATAATTAAATGCAGGGAAGATTGGGGTTGGTTGTTGTCACACGTACAGTCTGGTCTAGATTTAATTTTAAAACGGAACAAATAATCTGCAAAGCCTCCATGACCGGTGAAAACTTGTACTAATACTGGCGTTAAATTAATGTGTTTTAGGATGCGATATGCTGCTTCTACGTCTGGAAAAAATACTTTTGTAATTTCGGTTTTTTCTTCTGTTAAATATCTCTCATCCCATTCCTTAATCGTTTTATGTCTAATTTGGTTCTTTATGAACGAAATTGGATATTTTGCGTAATTTAATTTTGTTTTTAATTTTAAAGCTGCTTCCTTTGCGAGTTTGACTTCTTAATTTAGCGATATCTTGCCTAATTTCGAAAGCCAACGGTTGATATGCTGATTGATTTTTGACAAATTCCAGTGCAGATCTTGAATCACTGTATATGTAAGTACTTTGGTAATTCTTTGCTTTTTGAATTGCTTGATGCATTGCGTAAAGTTCAGCCTTAAAGACAGTGCAGAATGAATCTAATTTGAATTTATTATAATCTATTTCTTGTTTATTCCTCCAAATAGAGATTGCAGCTCCAACCTTTCCCTCAATTTTACTTTCATCGGTGAATATTTGTACGCTACTTGTATGTGGTTCCTCTAATTTTTCTGATGTTGTATACTTTATTATTTCAAAGTCGATTTTTTCTTCGCAGGCCGGATGCAGCATTTCCAAAAACTTACTTTTTCTTCGATCTCTCTGTCTTTAAGTAGGTTACCATCTGATTTACCGCGTTTTGCTTCATACAAATATGCAGCTTCGCATAACCTTAGATCTAAAGGTAGTAGTCCTGAGAGTATCAAAGCTGCGCTTAGTGAGACCGTGCGATACGATTTACAATTTTTTTGTGCAAATCCCCTCTGCACTGCGTTTAGCTGGTTTTTAATTGCTATTTTGTGGACTGCTGGTGCCCAAACGCTTGCGGCATACATTACAACTGGTTCAATAACTGATACGTTAATCGTTCTGATCACCTCGGGTTTAAGTCCCCATGAAATTTTTGCTGCACGAGCCAGTAATTTATAAATATTTATGGATTTTTGACAAATATAGGAAACATGACTTTTATATGAATTTTAATTTTTTATCGATGATTAAGCCTAATATTTTTATCTCATCTACTAGTTTTATTTCTTTACCTCCCATGAACAATTGTGGGGTTTCATACTTTAATTTATTCGTTACTATCATTATTTACATATTTATTTCTAGTTTTAATTTTTTGAATATTCGAATCACTTGCTTCCTTAATACACTGTATATATGTATTAATTGTAGCTTTTAGTTTTTCCTTTGATTTTAGTTCTGTTATCTCTTTTTTACTAATATATTTCATTTTAAGTGTTTCATATAGTTTATTTTTAAAATCTGTCCATTTCGCCCTTTTAGTATTATATATTCTAGTACTTTTAAAATTATTATTTTCTGTATGTTTTAACAAAACTAGTTTAAATGTTATACATTTGTGGTCAGAATTTATAATAGCTTTATTTATTCTCCAAATTTTCGCTACTGATTGTTACGTCTACTATACTCTGATAGATATTCCCACCCCTAATAGTATCAAATGTGGGTTCATTTCCTTCATTTAATATGTGCATACCTGTATCTTCTATCATTCCTGCCAATTCCTCTCCCCTATGATCTTCCCTAGCACTTCCCCACCATGTACTACATGCGTTGAAATCACCTCCTATTAGTATGTATTTTGTTTTTAGTTTTTCAATGATAGTTTTCAGTTGTGCGAGATAGGGTTCGATAGGTAAACTGTCCTCAAAATAGACCGATATGACTCCTAATTCCCACTTATTCGTTTTTAATTGAGCAACTGCTATATTCTCCGTTACAAGTGTTGGATCCTCTATGACATTAATATTTTGATCAAAAACTATTACTGCTGCGTTTACAGGTTTAGTTCTGTTTCTTGTACACTGAATTACTTTTGTCCCTTTTTCTTGTTTAAGTTCCCCTAATGCACCAATATATGGTTCCTATACCAAAGCGATATTAATTTTTCTTTGTTCTGCTTCTATCATTAACTCTTTAGTTGCTAATTTCTTCCTCTGGAGATTTGCCTGTATAATATGGTAGTCCTGTGGATTTCTTAATGATTCCAGATCAATTTCAGCAATACGCTACACTCGATCTGCCGCGATCGCGTCCCATTTCCTTCGGATAGGGCAACTGTCGTCAAATGCATTGTGGTCTGCCGTTTCGCTTTTTGCGTGCAAACAATTGCGACATGTCGTGGTTCTTTTACTGCCCATAATGGACAGTCGTCCTTAACATGGGGTCCGGCGCAATGGCTGCATAAATCTTGTGTCTCTTTACAAAACTTCTTTCCGTAGCCGTACCCCAAACACCGCGTACACTGTACCAACGTTGATTGGTCTCTTACTATTACACGTTGCAAGTCAATGTGGACTTTTTCCACTGTTGTCAGTCTCTGCCACACTTTTGGGGATACTTGAATTACGACATGATTAATATGTGGATTTCTAGCTTTGTTCCGATATTTAATTGCTGCTCTGTATTGATCATCTGGTATATCGGATAGCAGTTGCTTATTCTGGTTTTTCAGACCTGCTAGAATATCTTCATATTTATTTATAGATAGAACATCGCTCATAATTATCAGAGGGTCTTTATTCTCGACTTCTTGTACTAGCATTTTTGAGGATGCTCCTTTGATTCTTTCCGCAATTTTTTGAACTTCGTCATGTGTCTGGCATCCCACTATTACCTTTTGATCCCTAGCCTTCCGTAGTTTATCCACTCTCAACCCAGTGGTTTTAGCGTCAATTGCTGTTCTAATTTTATTTATTATATCTCCGCTAGTGTCTTGTTCTTCTTCTGACGATACCAGTACTGAGTGCATTGGAGCCATCATTTTACTGTTTATTTTGGCCTTAGGTCGACCAGCTATGCTGGCATATGTAGGTTCATTTGTTTCGATTATAACCAAAGACTCTCGAAGTCCACCCATTTGGTCTTTTAGGGAGAAATTTTGCAATTTTCTACGTTTATTGTTGCAGATTTTGGCTGATACGGCGGTTTTGGAGCAAGGTGGACCAGATAGGAGCAAAAGCGGAAGAGATTTGTAAGATTTTAATATAGACGAATTATTTTGATATATTACGTTTCTCAAAAACAATAATTTTTTAATTTAAATTAGAAATATCACCTGAAATGGCTTGAAAACACTGTAAACTAATAAAACTTGACTATTATAGACATTAATAGTGCTATGTAGTACTTATGGACAAAACTTTCATGTATTGCCAGTTGGCGTATCGTGGAAAAGCGACCTTGAGTATTCGGTCCGCCGACTCTCGCTACAATATATCGCGTAAGAAATATGCAAGACGCCACCTACTGTACGAACGTAGTATTATTTTTTCAACATCAATAAACTATTTTATGGAAATACACACGGCGTACAACGATAAATGTATTTTAATTTTTTTTATTCGGTATATTAGTTGCATTATATTAGAATTATGTATTCTCATATATGATCTAATTATGAAATTTTATAATTAATTATATATTAAAAATGAAGCATTGAAAATAGTGAGTTTAAAAGATACCTACTCACTATAGGTAAATAGATAGATAGCTCGCCTTTTGTACAAATATAGAATAAATAAATAAAGAATAAATAAATAAATAGGATGTTTCGCAGATGTGTTTTTGATTTGTTAATTTTTACGTGTCACGTATTGAAAAGTAACATACCTACCTACCTACTAATTTTTTGACTGAGCATCTTGTAACTTAGCCTGCTTATTACTTATGCTGGCTGACACTATCCTCACCCCAATGATTGATGAAGATGAAAAAAAATGTCTGTTTTTATTTTTACTTATTCAATTTTATTTCTACATACGTAATTATATTTATTTATCCATAAGGGTTATAATAAAGGTAATACAAAAATCAACAAGAAGTATAAGGGTTATAGTGTGGATGCCCCTAATACCCGCCCTGCCCCTAATAGCAGCCTTTTCGCCTTTTACCTTCATAAATAAAGGTTCTAGTGGTCTTATCTACAAATATTGTCAATTAACGTCACAAGAGGAAAGTATAATTTAAATATTACCACACAGTTATAAATCTATCAGTATTAAATTTAATATTAAAACACTCAGGCAACGGAAAACGGTCACTTTCCTATTTTTTTTTTGACAAGTATGCTCCCCATAAAATTAGGCTTATTTATATGATCTCTTTTGTTCTTTTTTTTGTTCTTTTTTTTAAAACGTTACCCCCGTTCTAAAGAAAGTCTGTAGAAAATTAAATTAATATTAATCAAAATTTCTATTTTTTTTTCAAATATTGTAATAATTTTATGTATTATTTAATTAAACCTCATGAAATATTCATACAAAAATAAAATATAGCTAACTCTATGCAAATAGTTTTAAAATTAAGCGTCTTTAAAAATATTGTATTCATAAATTATATAATTAAAAAAAAATCTACAAAATATGAGATCAATTTTAATGGAATATAATAGTTTTGTTAAATATAATATGTAGATTACGTACAAGAGTTATTTAATAAAAGTCATTTATGCTTTTCCCACTTGTTCGGAAAAATCCTGTCCTGTAATGTCCTGAGACGAACCAGCAAGGAACCCAGTGGGACTTTTAAAATTAATATGTTGTGTACAATTATATATGAAATCATTTAGAAACAGCATGGTAGCCATCCTTTTCAAGGGTCATTATCAAACATGTTTTTTTTTTCTTAAAAAAAAACGTTACCCCCACACTAGGATTTTTTCCTGTGTCGTGGAGGCAGTTTACAAACATAAATTGCACAAGGACAAATATACAGACCCGGAACAATTATTTATAGGCCATACAAATACTTGTTCCGTGCGGGATTCGAACCCGCGGCCCCCAGCGCAACAACTGATTGCTAAGCCACTGCGCCACGGAGCCGTCGTCGATCTCGTCCTTGAACTTTATGACTTGCATGAATATGACTATGGACGTAGCAATGCAGTTATTTTTAAATAAATTTATAAGGTTATTATTTCATTTTAGTGGTAATTAGATATACCATTTGTATGGAGTGCATAATGTCAGCCGTCAAGCTGTTATTTGATTTGAGGTACCAAATAACAAGTACCTAATTTCAGCCACGAAGTATAAATCAGGGTTGTCATAAACTGGAATAAATATCATCAATTACGATAAATTATTTTGAGACGAAGTTAAGATCAATTCGTCTATGATATAAAATAGATTTTTTAAAAATTAAAGTTTAGCAAATGTTGTATTTGATATTTTTTATCAGAAATTATTTGTTGTATAATAAGAATACCGTATATTTTAATTATTTCTTGAGGAAGGCAAAATAAGCAAATAATTATAACTTAATACATAAACGAAAAACTCATAAAAAGCTAATTAGCTCAGGACCGTGCTTTGCAGCAACCAGTCATGTTCAGCAGTGGACGTCTGGTGTGCTTTAATTATGATGTAGAAATATCATCATCAATACAGCACACCACACGAACTTGGATAATTAACTTATAAGAAATTGACGTGCAACATAATTTTTTATCACAATTTGTTTCAATTAATTGTTCAGTGTCATAAGAAAAATTTAACTTCTTAAAACCAAAACATTTCAGTAAGGTAGCTAAGTGTACGTAA